GGTTTTTGAGAGGTAGTGGCAGGTTTTTCAGCTACTGTGGGATTCGTACTGCGATCGTCACCCTCATGGATAATTGTACACAGTGAGGGGATTAAACCGGCAGTCATTATTTTAAAGATTAGCCTACTGCACCACTACCCCAGGGAATCAACCCCAGGCTCCATAATGACTATACCACTGAACAATTCTTCAGTACCGAAGTAAAGGGCGCAAAATACGTGGTGCATCGTTGCAAGATGAGATCTACTTGGCTTAGGAAACGGGCATGGAATAAGAGGCTCCCATAAATAGGAATCATCGACCTATGCTCCGGCTCATCTCGCGGACCACGTGCTGGAGGGACGAGGGACGGCAAAAGAAATGGATAGCTGCATCATTGTCTGCGATTATGTGGGATATCGGCCGTGCCAAGAATGTGTTGACCCACGTATTGGTGGACAGACAAGACATGGCTATGTGATGGCACAGGTCATCGGACGATGCGCACGAAATACGATTGCATCAGGACGTTTTTACCTGGATACCTTGGCATTAAGCCAACTGGTCCGTCAACATAAGTCTGTCACGTCTTTTTGGATGTGGGGTCGGACAAGCACCAAACGGATCGAAAGCTAGGGCGCAATCCATTCTCATTTATTCGGGGAGTTCTTCGTTATCTATGGCCGTACAAGTGCGGTTCCATTCTCTGTCGCTACACGAACCCCCTAAACTTCCTGACAGCTTGCGTATGAGAGCTGTTGACACTAGTTAAGATACGTGGGGATGCAGAAACGGCGCCGAATATTATATCAGGGGATTTCAAGCTGATGCAGGAGCCCAACGGGATTACTTGGATAGTTTTCGATATATATATATATATATATATAATCCCGCCGGAGTATCGGTATGATAAGGCCGCCCCTTGGCAAGCACAACAAGCTCATGATCTTACCATAGAGGCACATCCGTCGATAAAGGTCGTTCGTGAGACTGTCGTACCGAACATCGCGCAGCAACACATTCATCAACACATCAATCCCCACCAGCCGTATATTGAAGCAAAACCTGGGCTCAACACAACGTAGGAGGTCTTCTCCACAAGGTACAAAGCTGCGTGGACCGGCGAGATTGGCAATCTGCGGCTCTTGAACAAATTCAAAACAGCTTTGGGGCCTTCAAAATGCGTAACGGAGTATATAGTTGTGGGTTTATCGTACTTTGATGCACAATAGCTTCATCGATTTGTTGTGTGCAGGGAGCTTAGCAACAACTGTGGGAAGATGTTAGTCTGTGGTGGTCACAAGGAGACAGTATAACACTGTTTTTTTGGACATGTACGATGTCTTAGGGATGCTAGCAGGAGGTAATGACCTCGCACCATGGGTCCATCGTGAAGCCAGACGACGTGAGCCAATATGCGGGTCACTGCATGGCGATAAAATCTCCTCTCCATCGGGGATATTGTTACATATGCTGAAGCGTGCTTTTAATGATGCTCTGGAGGCGAATGTTGTTTAATGGTAGCGCATCTGGTGGATCCTGTGCTCCGTTTGTACCCCGAATCCATGATTTAGCTCAGTAAGGTCGTTCACGAGCAGATACAACCTTCACTTGATGTGTGTGTGAGTTAGAATTTCGATCTTATGGTCTTTGGAAATTACGAGCGTTTTTCGACAAGAAAGCTCCGAAAGACGCATACAAGGGTACAAACCATCCGTACATGGCGGTTCATCGAAACCCTCGACGCAATCAATCCGCCTTCCCGAGAATCCCATCATGTCCTGTAGCACGTAAAACCACCGGTCCATTTGACGCCGGGTTTGCCTATCCAGCTTAGGACATTACAAAAGTCTTGCAAACGTCCAGAAAGCCTGATAGACTGTCCGTTCCATTCTCTTAGGTTTAGCAAATGAAAAGGTGCTTAACCGAGAAAAAGAGTAACGATATTTCCTTCTAAGTTGAAAAAAGAGATAGAATGTGCTCATATATTTCATGTGTGTGAACGAAAGATGTATGGTCATATATTTCATTCAAGAAGAGCGTGCAGCGAGTACGGAACAATAGTTGGCTAGAAGAAGCAATGGAATATGTACGAAGACTCTACAAGACACGCATTATATGCATTGCTTAATACTTCCAGATACAAGTCTTACGGAGGAATAACTCAACGTCCAGACGAGTACATGTGGATTCAAGACTCAGATGAAGAATTCGCCTCACAATCAATGTGTGATTGAAACTGCTAAAAAGAATAGAGAAGTGCGAACGCTAAAGAATGAATGATGTGCAACCATTTGTGTGTAGTTGACAGGTCAATGGAGTGATACAAGGATCATAGTGAACCACGGCAACGTGCAACATTGGGTCAATACTACAATGTATTGACCGGCGACATAATCTACATAGCGAGTGCTAGGTAATTACTCGTCGTCGGGATCGTCCCGCGTCCACTGTGTTCTACAATTTGCGTACGTGAGAGTATTCAAAAACGACGTGCGACACAAAGATGTGCCTATAGTAAGGTGTACATACGATGGCATACGAGTAGAAGTCTGTTATCGTCATGGAACTAAATCAGGCTGTGCTACGCTTCGGTCAGATATCGCATGGAATTCGGAGGCTGTATCTATAACAGAGGTGTCATCGAGAAAACTATTCAGTCAAGTCTCATCAACTTGTGCATGTTTACGAATCTGATCCGAGACATATAGCAATCGTTTGCGTATACGTTTCTGCTATCCACTGCCACAAAAGTAGCAGCGATAATAAGGACTGCCATAGATCAAAAAGCTGTCAATCTTTGGGCGATGAATGAGAGCAGCAGTGCGCTGGCAAAGCACATGAAGTGAAAGCTCGAGAAAGCGTGGGACCTACAAGTCTAAATTGTATTACACCATAAATACGTAAATATACAGGCTGCTTATCTAGATGGATTTTCTTCACTTCGCTTCATCGGTACCTCGCTGTATGGACTTCGTTCGTGGCCTAATTAAGCTGAGCTTGTCGCTTGTGTATGAAGAGTCGTAGCGGCGATGCAACACGGCCGAGTAAGGAAAAGAGCCACCTCAGGTACAGGCAAGGATTGTTGACTTGTGGGCACGACAGAGTTTACTGCCCACCAAAGCCACCACCTGAGGTGGCTATCCGGTAGCACAAGACACGACGTGCTCAATGTGACGGGCGTGTAGATCATCTCGTTCAGTATGCTGATGAGGCACTTCCTTTTTGTCCCAGGTGCATTCGTCTTGTCAGATTTGGACGTACATATGCATCAACTAGCATTGGCACGAAGTAGCAGTGTGGGCGCATAGCAGCACATGTGTGGGTAGCAGGCCTTTGCGAGTATGGTGCTAAGACGTGACAACAGATGATGAGGAAGCCAGCCGATCGACTGGACTGAAGTTCCGCTAATTACACACACAGCCACTAACTTTACAAAAGCAATGGCTTACAGAGTCTTGTCATACATCGAGTATTCGGCGTCAGACACGAGGCCGAGCATGACATGACAAATCTTACTGTCGCTAAAAAAATTCTGAGCAACGCATTTACAAAGAAGTTGCGCTACCATAAACGATTTGGACAAAAGAAATCGGAACGATATGCTATGCCTTGTTTCCGATCGATCTAGATCATCAGTATGCAATCTAAAGAAAAGACAGTCGTTGAGATATGACCCGTTACATAAAGACACGATCCTTGTCATCATTATGATTTCACGGCCTAGCAATGCAAAACCACATCAATCGGTCAACGGAAACAACGCACTAGTGGAAAAGCCGTCGTAAGGGTGGCGTATCTTGTGTTATGAGAGACACAGGGCAGTTTGATGACGGATATGCCGAGTGCCGTGGATTGTCAGCTACAGAAATAACATGGCGGTCTACAGGTTATACATTTTCATGCGAAACGCACTTGCGTCCCTTGATCAATCACACACTTGTCAACAAGCAGGAACTGTTGAAGTGCAGCCGTATAGCCGTATAGCCGTAAGACGTCGTCTGGTAGCATGAGCAGCAAAGTGACCACAACAAAGCGATGCAGAGCCTTCGTTTGGTCAAATGATCCGAGCGATGCATTGCGAGAAGCAAACTGCACTGCATTCGTTTCGACGCATGGGAGAGTCTTGATCGTACCGCTGCACATGAGATTACCGATTGTCCTCGTTTCCACATGAGCCACATTACTGTCATTGTTTCCTTCGTCAGCAAATGTGACGCTAGTGGACAGCAAAATCGGCGATCCCGACGAGAGGAACAATCGAAAACAACGTGGGCGCGCATTCGCTTTGCAACAATTGAGGCTGAGAAACGAAATGCCTTCACACGGATGCATACAAAGCGGTATGTCGTTCCATAAACACCATCACTTCGCGCTTAGACTACTCGCACATTCGTCTCTGTATCCTGCAGTTCATCACCTTACAGGTTGCAATGGGTCTACATCGAGGCGCCGAACGACTTGGTCGCTTCATTGCATTCTCTGCCTCGTTCTTACTTTTTACGAGACGCTGATCGGTACCCCAAGACACGAGATATAGTCGTGTCATGCGAGCTTCGAAATTGACTGCCACTCTGTCTTTTTGGCTGGTCAGGTCGAACAGACGCCCCTTTCGAGACAACTTGTGCGACGCATTACCGCAAACGCTGAACCACCAAAAACAGACACACTGACATTTCTGGAGCGCCGCAGAAGCGTTGCAGGGTCGAACACTATAAACGCAACGACACAAGTAGACCAGTGGAGCGGAGTCTTCGATCAAATTAACGTCTATTGATCCACGCAAGTTTGACCACATCCAGAACATACAATTTGTCTGGACATAGAGAACGCCTCGCACGTGCTGACCTCACGCTGTCCTGCAAGTGCTGCTTAGCTCAAAAGTTGACACACTTTCGGTTGTCTTTCTCTCGCTTTGCTCGCATTTCTTCTCTATGCCTCCACCTTCAGCAATTACAGCAGCATCCGCTTCGCACGCTTCCGTAGACGATAAAGGTTGTCGTTTATTTAGCCGCAAAGTCTTACGCGCGATGACGCGGAATGTGGGAATACGAGTCCAACTCGGCTCCACTGTCACTGGAGTCGTCTGCATACGTGCGTTTCCTCGGTCGATTTCTTCCAAGCGACGACTGGCGCCGAGGCGGTGCCGCACTGTCTTCGACGTCATTCTTCGCCTCATCAGCATCCGAGTAGCTTCCGTCGGCCTCAAGAAGCTGACGCTTACGCTTCTTTACATTGCTTTGCAGCAGCGAGCTTTCATACGGAGAGTTCAGCTTCATGAAATGCGCAGCAAGGTCCGTCGGCTTGATCGGCGACAACGAGGTCTGTCGTTATCAGCATGCATAAGTGAGTATAAGCAACTATAGAACACGGACATACCAGACACTCCAGGGTTAGAGCTATACCACCAACGTACGCTGAGTCTTGACATCCTAGGCACTGTAGACGTCTCCAGCGATTCAGGCGCCTCGGGCTCCTTCCTCCCGCCGGGAGTCGCAAGCGTGCTGGGTCTCCCAGGGCTGAACAAATGCTTTGGCAAATAAATTCTTCCTGGAAATGGCTTCAGGTTTGACTGTTTCTTGATTTTTTTCTTGAGCAGAGCAACGGCGCTATCCAGTAAGGGGTACATATTGATGCCGTCGGGATTTGATACGTCGTGGCACTGCGAGAGCTTGGTCAAAATCTGGAGCAAGAAGGCAATGTTGTCTGCTGCTGCAGCATTTGTCGAGACCAAACCGTCTAGAAAAAAACCCAGGTATGCTAGCTGGCCAGACCACTGAGCATTTTGCATAACCATGGATGAAGGTGTTGTCTCCACCAATTTCACCGGGTACGCGGGATGGTGGGCTAGAAGATGAATAACGTACGGCAACGCGTACTCCGGCACCATCAGTGCACTCATAGAATGTAAACCATTTCCCGTTTGCCCAGGACTGCTACACTCTTCCGATTCGCGCACAGGTACAGCATCAAACGCACGTCGCATACGTTCTACACCAACCTTGAGCAAATTTCGTGCAGTTTTCTTCAAACCAGCATTGGAATCAGTAGCAGCAAGCGCCAAGTAGCTAAGGTACTTGTGTTGATGCTGGACGGAGTGCTTAACCAAGTGAGACGTCAACTTTTTCAAAAACTTGCGGCGAACGTCGTCGTTCGAGTCTTGTATCGTGTAGCCCAGCAAATGCCACTCAGATACCGAGATCAACGCCTCTAGCTGTCGAATGCGCATCGCTTTCATGAGGCCACATGACGCAACAGCTCGTAACGTAGCTGACAGACTGGGCGTCGACGCATAATCTGTTCCATCTGAGCGGAGTATTCCAAAAAGAAGCTCAAGCAATTGAGTACCTTCATCTAGCCAAGTCGACGAGCCTTTGACGGGTCCGCAATACACAATCAAGTTCACTGCCACCTTTACGGCCAAACTACGAACCTCGGCCAGTGTCGCAGCAGCCAGTCTAGAGCCTTTATGACTGCACTTTTTAGCGCTTGGCGTTCCAGGTGTTGGTGCTTGATTGCTCTTTCCAATCAAGCCAGTGAGCAAGTGCTTCCAGAGGCGTAAGAACTGTGGTCTATCCTCGGAAAACAAATCGCTGCGACGCTTTGCGAAAACTTTGAGACTCTGCAAGGCTGCTAGAACTCCAGGGTGATCGGGATGACCTAGCTTTTCATTCGAGCACAGCTTGTTGACCAACCCCACAAGTTCATCGGTTCCCTCATTTAGGTGGGAAAGGGCAATAGCTGCCAATTCTGCAGCACGACTTTCCTTCGCGGTGTTGAAGTTTTGTGCTTCAACATTGCTGTCTCCGAGGCAAAAGCTGCGAAGACGTTTCATCAATGCTGCAGACGGAATGTTGCGTTCATTGCTCTCCAATGGCGCATTCTCTTCATCACAAGTAACTGCCCGATAATGTGGGTAACGGGCTAAGACGTGCAGAGCGCCAAGAGTTACTCGCGGATCTCTGGGCACGGCATCCTCCTCGTCAGATTGATTTTCAATCGGATCTTCGTTGCTTTGAGTCAATATCGCAGTGACTTTGTTGTGAACAAACGGCGCAAACAGCTCTGGTAGCTCACCAGATGCCATCACCACGAGATCCACAACGCTGCGATTCCCTTTCGACGGACGACCCTCCTTGGCAATCAAGAAATCGAGCAAAGTAGCGACGGAAGCTTGATTCATTGTCAGCAATGAAAGCTTGCGACACAGTTTCTTCAAAAACTCTCCCAGCGCAGTTTTGGATCCAACACATCGAACCAACTGGTCTCTCGCATGACGCATTTCATGCTGACTTTTCGAGTAATCGCACAAGGCACCCAAATGCTTATACACGCTGTGATCTTTCCACGTAGACAATTGATCGAAGAGCTTGTCTAGCCCACTCACGTCCGAAAAAAGAGGTGCAAGTCCTTTGCACAACTGCTGCTTTGCCTCTTCTAGTGCACCACTTTTCGACTCAATGAAACACCCTTTGTGGCGTTGCTGCACCTTGAAGTCGACAAACAGCTTGCAAACTTTCTGACACTTGGCCCGTTCACTGAACATACGTCGCAGTGCTTCTCTTGACGTAGAATCGAGAGCATGAAAGATAAAAAGCAGTCCGTTTGCGCGAGTTTGCTCTGAGAAGGCTTTGGGTAATAGAAAGTCATCCAGAAGCTGGATGACGCGGAGTTTCAGCTCTTGCTGAGGGTACGCGTAGCACTTCAATACGTAGTCTGGGATCCATCCCAGCTTCTTCACGTCGGCTGCAGAAATGTTGCGGTGGTTGAGTGACAGTAGTTTCTTTTCCGCTGCCTCGTTTGCTTCCCAGTACGAGGAAATGTGTGCACTGTACACTTGGCTGAGACCCGTCATTGTCTCCTTCCTCAGTATCACCTTCTTGTCCTTCATGCGCTCTCCCACGGCTCGAAGGCACTCTTCACTGATCATCTCCAAGCAGTTCGCTGCAAAGTCACATAACTCGTGTACCACTAGCTGCCGCACTTCCCATTCCGGGTCACTCAGTCGCGATATAAACTCTTTTTCCAGCAGACTCGCTAGATCAGTCTTGCACTCCCAGATCGTGACACACACTTGGATCATTTGCATACGAATCTCTTTGCTCGCGTCGCGGAAACGGCCCAGAAACTCGCGAAAGTTCTTCATGTATTGGTGACCGAAATCCGTATGCGGCGACGCAAACAACTTGCCCATCAACGCAACAGCACCCGACCGCGTAGCAACTTCATCCACCTGGAGCTGAAGACACACATTAGGAAGCACATAAAGCAGCAGCGCTGGATTGATCGTGTGCACCTCATAGATCAACGTGTGCACGTGTCCCTTCAACTTGGAAGCCGTCTGCAAACCTGATGGATCCGTAGTGTCAATCAACATGTTGTTCAAAAAAGTCGACAGCGGGTTCTGCAGCACATCACTCGTTCGTTGTATCACTTCCCGCGCCAAGCGGCACGAGCTTTCGTGTCCCCCACCCGCCTCCTCATTGTCAGGTCCATCTCCCGCCCGTTCCCCCATAGCCGCAGCCGGCACCAGTTGGCTCAAAATTGCCTCCAACAGCGGCTGGTCTACACCGTCGCTCTCTTCAATGCACGTCACCATGACACTCAATATCCAGTGCTCAATCTTTGTAGAGTGGCTGCACCGGACCGCTGCTGAGAACAGCGCGCGAAAGAGCTGAATCAGGACGTTGTCCTCGTCTGCGGCTCGTGGACAGCGGAGCCCCACGGCCAACCCACAGGACTTGACGGTCGCCAGACTCTCGAGCACGTACAGCTGGTGCGTCGAGCCCCTGGCACACGCGGCCGTAGCCGCCGCCTGTGGCAGCGCTCGGAGCTGCTCGATCAGCAGCTGAAACACGCGATAGAGCGCTTCGTCCGAGCCAAACGGCGAGTCGGGCGACGTCACGCGCAAGAGCTCGACGGCGCAACAGGCCACAAGGGACCGCACCGTCTGCTCGGAATGCTCCAAGAGCGCCGGCGCCACGAGCTCAGCCGCGACGCGACGCACGTGCGCCGCGGCCTGTGCGTCCACGACGGCGTCTTCGCGTTGCTGCTGTCGACTCGGCGTGTGCTGCAGCGCAGTCCACGTCTGGTGGAGGCGCTTCGGGAGGGCAGAGCCCGTGCAATGTGTGTGCGGGACATAAGTACCGGCGAACAGGTCGTGCACGGAAAGCGCAGCAGTTGCCTCGCGGTCGATCTGAGTCGACATCTGAGTCGACGTCGGGTCGGTACCTGAGTCTGAGTCCACGTAATGCGCCGGTTGAGACGCGTTGCCGTGAGACGTCGCGGCTCGGCGACGGCGTCGCGGCGCGGCTCGGGACTGGACGGAGCGCGTCCTGCTGGCGGTGGTGGAGGCCGCGCGGGTCGTACGTGGGGCCATTGGGCGGTGCCGTTGGGCGTGGACACGCAGGTCCGGTCGGCTGATGCAGCGGACGTTCGTTGCCTTTTGTGTTGGACGGAACGTTGGACGGAACTGGGGTATCTGCGTGATTGGTGGTTTTGTACCCAAATCGGATTTGACGGGGGTCCCATTGTGTTGGGGAAACAAAGTGCTTTGTGTGGGGCTGGCAGGACGGACGGACGGACGGACGTGAGGGATACCGGTATGCACTTGACGTTCCGAGGCATCAGAGGTACCACTGATGCAACGAAAGATGTTTGTACAGCTGTCGGTGTAAAGGAGTAGGAAGGACGGGGAAGCGCTGCGCAGTCCTTACGCGGCATTCGGGCAGTACAGGTGTCTCTCCTTTCGTACACAAAATACAAAGTGTTAAACGAGTGTCGGAAGTGGTAAAGTCAGGCACAATTCACTTACGGGTTAGGATATAATGTGGGGAAACTAAAGAGTTATAGAAGCTGTGGCGTCGCAGCGCAAGTGCACTTTTAGTCTCTGTCGCGACTTGGAGATCATCACTGAGCCAGTGCGGCCGCGTTTGTTTCTGCTTCAACCACAGCCTCAACTACATGGCATTGGATTGCTGTCAAATGAGCGCTTAGCTGCTTATCTCGACCACACGACGACACGCTGCCGATAGAAAGCTGGAAAAGAAGAGGAAAGGCACTGATTACCATTGAGGCGGACAATCGAGTCGACTGACCGTCCACCGATTCGTGTGTGTGTGTGTGCGTACGTGTGTGCCTGAGAACAGAGCGGATAGACAGCAGCTCGCTCGTGCTCAGCAGGAGTCAAACATGGCAGTCGTCACGCGACCTCAAGATACATTACTCGCAGCATCGCTCGTGACGTCGTCGCACGCAGAGCTGTGTGGCAAAACGAGGGGGAAGGGCCGAGTGCGTGTAGCGCATTGAGCGCCGACGATCTTCTCTGTGTCCCCTGCTCATGTCACGTGAGCGGCTCCAGAAACGGACGCAATGCGCAGGATGGGGTCGTTTGCGTCATTGGAACGACCGCCACGCGCGGATCGTGCGGTGATTACTACCGCTGACCAGCGACTCGTGCACGTCCGTCGCCTCGTGTCCGTAGCGTACAACAACGAGCTCAGCAATCCATCTTTTGCGACGTCCTCCTCGTCTGCTTGCGGGACCGACGCTGCACGAGGCGAATCTCTGCCGCTACAATGGACACGAGACGCGGCTCTATGGACAAGGGAAGCGAGCGCCATAGCCAGTGGGAGGGGGAGAGGAGAGAGAGGAGAGGGGGGGGCAGAAGAGACCCCGCACGTCCATCAGAGCTGACGCGCACGTCAGTCGTCCGCATACCGTAGAGAAAGACCATCTTGGATCGGCCGGACGGACGGCCGGGCGGACGGACCTGCCCGAGCAGCAGATGCGCGACACGAATTAATGATAAGGAGCGGTCGGCCGCCGACGGCAATCAAAAAGCCTGTGGACAGTCTGCCGTTGCAACGACACTTTGTGCGCGTGGAGGAGGCGGTACAGCAGTTCTGTCCGAGCAAGTCGGCCAAGGACAGCGTCGGGGGGGGGGGCGGTCTCGAGTCTGGTTCGAGCCATTCGGTTCGCCTCTAGACAACGAGAGACACACGAGACGCTCTGGTTGGTGTGGGACAGACGGAACCGCATCGGACCGTAGACGTCTCGATGACGTAGGACGGATTGCTCGGTAGATAGCGCTCGGGAGACCGCCACGAGCCCTTGTTCCTATCCTACGTGGAGCGCATGTCGTTGCGACGTGAAACGTACTCTACCGACGGTCAGTCGTTACGCTGCAGCCGACGTCCTCGTCTGTCCGACGAGCCACGTCAAACGTCCCGCTGCTTTGCTGTAGAGTCGGCCGTAAGTGCTGAGTGCGTTGACCTGCGCAGACGTTGCGAGCTCGGCACTGCTGTGCGCCGCCGCTACGAAGAGACACGTATCCGAACGTTGTTCCCATGGGGTCTGAGGATTCAGAAGCCGCCGTCTCGAGGCTTTGCGGCGCGACGCCCGTGTGTCTGTCAGACGCGTGAAGGGCACAGAAGCGTTGCCCGTCGAATGGGATCAGAGTCATTGCATGTGTGAGTGAGCGACATTGGGTGGCTCTCTGGTCGGGTGGTTGGCTCGATGGAGGACCGCCACGTACCAGCTGCGAATGGAACAGCGAAAGCGAATGCAACGCTCGACTGCAGTGTGACGAGTTGTTGTTGCTGCTGTTGCTGTTGCTGTTGCTACTGCTGCTGCTGCGATTACCGTGTGAAGGTGCGAGAAGAGGACAGAAGAAGCTCTTGCCGCATCATCGACTCACGACCGCCACGAAGGAGGTCAGCGCTGGGGCGAACAGTGTGCTGCTGCGTACGCTTTTTCGCAGCATCAGACCGTGTCATGCTACAGAGTGGGAGTCTTACAGTCGAAGACAGTGTCGTTCGGTCAGGTAGGCGTGGCATCCTCAAGCGCTTCAACTTAGAGTGGACAGACGGCTGGTCAGCGCTCGGAATCGACCATTGACGTCGATTATCAGGTAAGTTGCCAGCCCCCCCCGTGTGCTACTTATGGACAAGTGTGCGTCTGGTCCGTCGATGTTCTTTGTGCAAACTCTGTCAGTTAACTTCAGTCGCGATGGATGTCGCCAGACGGGAGGGAGGGGGTGGGTGCTGGTAAAGTGTCGTGGGTCCACACGAGCTGCTTGAAGTTGCCGCAAGATGTGTAGTTGACGCAGAGTTGTTCATTCAACAAACACCCAATTGATGACTTTCGATGCGTTGCGGGTATATCCAAACCCATATTATCTGTGTGTTTTCCTGAAAAGAAGAGCAATTTGCAAGGCTGCAACACGCGCGCATCGATACAAATTGCAAAAAATGGGTCAGATTTCATCCGCTGACGTCACCCATCCCAACAATCCGTATGCCTGCAAATGAGGCTTCACCCATGCTCCCGCTGCACGCGGGAGCCGAGACCTGTCATCGCTATGGACAACCATCTCGTGTTTCAGTGCCTCCTTCGCGTCCCAACTGGCTATCCCGTCTCACATTCTACTGGCTCGGCCGCTTGCTCGCCCTGGGCGCGTCGCAGCCGCTCGAAGCTTCCGATTTGGGGTCTTTTGAGTCGGACGAGCACACAATTCGTGTGACCAACACTCTGCGACGCGCTATGAATAACAGCCAATCGCTTGGGCTCTCGCTGCAACAGACGTTTTTCGGCTTCAACATGTGCGTAGCCGGGGCTTGTAAACTCACTGGCGACTGCTTGACGTTTGTCCGTCCCATATGTTTCTATGCGCTAATTCAGTACGTCGAGAATCCCGCTCCCGCGTGGGTCTCCCTTGCCTCAAATGGGTACATCCTCAGTTTCACCCTATTGGCAGCCTCGAGCCTCCAGACACTATGTCTGCAGCACTACCAGCACCGGAGTATCCGAGAAGCCGCTCGAGTCCGCTCGGCACTCACGACGCTCGTGTACGAAAAGGCACTTGCGCTGTCATTGCAGACCAAAAGCTCGTTGGGCTCCAAGAAGATAGTGGATCTCGCCACACTCGACGTTGACCGGGTTTTCGAGCTATGGCGCGTGGTCCACAGTGCATGGGCAGCCCCAGTGCAATTGGCCATTGGACTTGTGCTACTCATGCAGTATCTCGGCGCAGCATCACTCGTCGGTGCGATGATGATGATGGTGCTTTTGTCCATTGCAAATGCAGCGTTCTCGTCGCTGGTGACGAGTGTCTCGAAGCATTTGGTGAAGTGTGCGAACAAGCGACTCGAGTTGATTACCGACTTGTGGCAACATATTCGCGTGATCAAGTTTTACGCTTGGGAGAGCGAGATGCTGGGACAGGTCGATTCTAGTCGAGAGGAAGAGCTGTGTTTTCGAAAGAGAATGATAGCATGGAACGCTTTTCGGAGCGCCGTTGAGCAAGCAGAGCCAGTGCTCGTGTCGATTGGAACATTTGCTGCGCATTCATATTTCGAGAGCGAACCGCTTACGTCGAGCAAGGCGTTCACTGCAATCGTGCTGTTCAGCATCATTCGACTGCCACTCGTGGCGTTGCCGCAAGTTTTCCCACTGATCTTTGCCGCGACGGGATCGATCAAGCGCATCGAGTCTTTTCTTCACCTTGAAGAGTACCGGCAGGCGTTGGCACCGCTCTCAAGCTCCTTCATCGCTGACCCATTTTTTGAGATTCGCCATGCTACATTCAAGTGGAGCAATACCGACACCACGGGAGAGTTAGCAACAAAAGCTGGTGATGAAGACGCTTTGCCTATCCAGCTACCGAACGTCACAATTTCTGTACCAAGAGGCAAGCTGACTCTCATTGTCGGGGCGGCTAAAAGCGGCAAATCGGCCCTTCTTGCAGCTGTGCTGGGCGAGCTTCAGCCTGAATATGGCGTGGTTCGCACCCCTTTGCAGCGTATATCGTATGCTGCACAAGCACCATACGTCATTGACGCCAGTATTCAAGACAACGTTCTGTTTGGTGCTTCATTGGATACAGCTCGTCTTCATCGGGTCGTCAAGTGCTGTGAACTGGAGAAAGAGCTCTTGCTCCTTCCAAATGGATTTCAGAGTAAGATTGGTGAAGGTGGCATACCACTGAGCGACGGCCAGAAGCAGCGCCTTTCGATCGCACGAGCGTTATATCCAAGAGAACAGGAGCTTTACGTCTTTGACGAATCATTGACGGGGTTGGACGCTCATGTTGCCACTCGCATTTTCAATCAATGTTTCAATGAGTCGACGAGTGGGCTTTTGGCTGGCTTTACGCGGGTCTTAAGCACCCACTCGTTGCAATTCGCTCACCTGGCAGACTGGATTATAGTAATGGACAACATGCGCGTCGTTGAGATGGGAACGTACCAAGATCTTACACAAGTTAAACCGGACGGAAAGTTCGCATCGATGCTCAGGGTTTTTCATGGTGCTGATGACGCACCCGTCGTTGAGCGAGCGACCATTGCTAGTGGCGAAGCGAGGGTCGTGAACACAACCGAGTCCGGACCACGGCCGAATTCTTGCGCTGATATGCTCATACAGGACGAAGCAAAATATGCGGGACATGTGTCGCGGAACGCATGCGTGTCGTACTTCGTATCGTGCGGCACCTTATCGGTGATCGGGGCTTTTGCCCTTCTATTCGCGAGGCAGGTGTTGTCCGTATCGGCGGAATTGTGGTTGACGAAGTGGACCAGTAACAGCGCCGTCGGACCGGACTTGGTATTTTACCTCTCCTTCTATGCCTACCTCGGTCTTAGTGCTGTCGTCCTTGGTTTTGTAGGAGAGCTCTGCTGCCAGTACGCTGGGCTTCGGTAAGCGTTTGTTCTCGTTGCCTGTTGACGTGCAAGGATGTTGTACTGATCTGTTGATGTCAGTGCGTCGAAACAAATCCATCATTCTTTGTTGCAAAACCTCATCAAGGGAACGCTGCGCTTCTTCGACACGCATTCTGTTGATCATATCCTCGACCGGTTCTCACACGACATGTACCTCATCGGTATAGGGCAAAGATTCGTGATGCTCGACTAAATCTCCTGAGACTAAGCATTCGTTGTTCTCGTTATTGTGCCATAGACGAAAAACTGATCCGGGCAATTGTTCAGTGTGCTACGATACTATTCGCACTATTCAGCATGCTGGCGATCCAGAGCTCGATGGCTCCTTTGCTGCTGGTACTGCTGAGTCTAGTATTCGTCTGCTACGTCTCGTACCAGCGGCACTATGATAAGTCTCGTCGGAGTCTGCAGAGCTTGGATCGTGTTTCCAGAGACCGTGTGCACGCACACTTTATGCAGACACTCAATGGACTAGCGACAATACGAGCTTTTGGTATGAATCGGCAGAGTCAACGCGCAGCAGCATCGAAGACAAATGAGAGCGCTAAGGCTCTCCTTTCACTAAACTTGATCGCTTGCTGGTTGCGCGTCAGATTGGAGCTACTGGGCGCAGTGATCACCTTTGCCGTCGCGTTCTTCGTCAGCCGCGATTATCTGGTACTCCCGAGCGCCATGGCGGGCTTGCTGCTGTGCTACTCGCAAGGCATGACCTTACTGCTTGATTCGATGATGCGAAACAGTGTTGACGCGTGGGACATGATGAAAAGCGTACAGCGTATACAAGAGTATCGTGACATTGACTCCGAACCAGTGACGTTGCTTGCGCATCATTACGAACGCTTTACTACGTCCAAGTCGCGTACACTAGAACTCCGACCACATTGGCCTGAGCATGGAAAAATCGATTTTGTTAACGTCTACGTCAAGTACAATCCGGATGCGCTACCGGCACTTAACGGCGTCGCGTTCAGCATCGAGAGCGGTGAGAAAGTTGGCATTTGTGGTTGTGCTGGGGCTGGAAAGACTTCTCTTTTTCTCGCACTCTTTCGAATGGTGCCATTCGAGGACAAAGGTAGCAGCATCTACATCGATGGAGTGTGTACGACTGCGTTGACTTTGACCGAGTTGCGATCACGGATAGCTATTATTCCGCGAGACCCAGTTCTTTTTGCGGCGAGTGTACGCTTTAACCTAGATCCGACACGTCAATCCACTGACCACCAAATGTGGAATGTGCTCCGAAAGGTTGGTCTGGAAGCATTTGTTCAGGGTTTACGTGGTGGTCTAGATGCCGAAGTTTTACACGAAAGTGAAATTTTCAGCATCGCTAAGCAACGGCTGGTGTGTCTTGCACGTGCGATGCTGCGTAACTCCAAAGTATTGTGTTTCGATGACGCAACAACTTCATCTTCGATGGATCACAAAGCGGGTATGTTAGCGATTGAGTGATCTAGATCGAATCAAATGATGTGTATGATTGTGCATTATTGACGACTACTGCTTTTCCATATGTAGACGAGTGTGTCCGGTCATCAGTCCGTCGAGAGTTTGCCGAGGCTACGGTACTAACGATCACGCGCCGTGTGGACACAGTTCTAGATCACGACAAAGTTGTGGTACTCAAGCAGGGGCGCGTTGTTGAGTTTGGTCCACCATCTGAATTGCGAGACAAGCCCAATGGCGAGTTTGCTGGAATGCTGCGAGAGTCATTGTGAACGTGCTGTGTGGTACTCGTCTCGGTCCTTCACTTTATGTTGCAAAGGGGCTCACATTTCTACCGGAAACTCGACTCCTGGCTATCATCAGCACAAGGCCATTGTGACGTATCGACCGACCGGACAACGAACTACTAGCTGTCGGCATGAGGACAAAGTAACGTGTAACACCTCGACCGGGCAATTATCTGCTGGCGATCAGCATAAGGAAAATGTCACGTACAGCCTATCTGTCCCTCATTTACGGCTACCTAACCTACGACACAGATGCGACGGCGGCGACCGTAAACTTAGGTATTTGTTGCTCTGTCAGCGATGATCATGCAAGAACATCGACGGACCAGACGCACACTTGTCCATAAGTAGCACACGGGGGGGGGCTGGCAACTTACCTGATAATCGACGTCAATGGTCGATTCCGAGCGCTGACCAGCCGTCTGTCCACTCTAAGTTGAAGCGCTTGAGGATGCCACGCCTACCTGACCGAACGACACTGTCTTCGACTGTAAGACTCCCACTCTGTAGCATGACACGGTCTGATGCTGCGAAAAAGCGTACGCAGCAGCACACTGTTCGCCCCAGCGCTGACCTCCTTCGTGGCGGTCGTGAGTCGATGATGCGGCAAGAGCTTCTTCTGTCCTCTTCTCGCACCTTCACACGGTAATCGCAGCAGCAGCAGTAGCAACAGCAACAGCAACAGCAGCAACAACAACTCGTCACACTGCAGTCGAGCGTTGCATTCGCTTTCGCTGTTCCATTCGCAGCTGGTACGTGGCGGTCCTCCATCGAGCCAACCACCCGACCAGAGAGCCACCCAATGTCGCTCACTCACACATGCAATGACTCTGATCCCATTCGACGGGCAACGCTTCTGTGCCCTTCACGCGTCTGACAGACACACGGGCGTCGCGCCGCAAAGCCTCGAGACGGCGGCTTCTGAATCCTCAGACCCCATGGGAACAACGTTCGGATACGTGTCTCTTCGTAGCGGCGGCGCACAGCAGTGCCGAGCTCGCAACGTCTGCGCAGGTCAACGCACTCAGCACTTACGGCCGACTCTACAGCAAAGCAGCGGGACGTTTGACGTGGCTCGTCGGACAGACGAGGACGTCGGCTGCAGCGTAACGACTGACCGTCGGTAGAGTACGTTTCACGTCGCAACGACATGCGCTCCACGTAGGATAGGAACAAGGGCTCGTGGCGGTCTCCCGAGCGCTATCTACCGAGCAATCCGTCCTACGTCATCGAGACGTCTACGGTCCGATGCGGTTCCGTCTGTCCCACACCAACCAGAGCGTCTCGTGTGTCTCTCCGTTGTCTAGAGGCGAACCGAATGGCTCGAACCAGACTCGAGACCGCCCCCCCCCCCCCGACGCTGTCCTTGGCCGACTTGCTCGGACAGAACTGCTGTACCGCCTCCTCCACGCGCACAAAGTGTCGTTGCAACGGCAGACTGTCCACAGGCTTTTTGATTGCCGTCGGCGGCCGACCGCTCCTTATCATTAATTCGTGTCGCGCATCTGCTGCTCGGGCAGGTCCGTCCGCCCGGCCGTCCGTCCGGCCGATCCAAGATGGTCTTTCTCTACGGTATGCGGACGACTGACGTGCGCGTCAGCTCTGATGGACGTGCGGGGTCTCTTCTGCCCCCCCCTCTCCTCTCTCTCCTCTCCCCCTCCCACTGGCTATGGCGCTCGCTTCCCTTGTCCATAGAGCCGCGTCTCGTGTCCATTGTAGCGGCAGAGATTCGCCTCGTGCAGCGTCGGTCCCGCAAGCAGACGAGGAGGACGTCGCAAAAGATGGATTGCTGAGCTCGTTGTTGTACGCTACGGACACGAGGCGACGGACGTGCACGAGTCGCTGGTCAGCGGTAGTAATCACCGCACGATCCGCGCGTGGCGGTCGTTCCAATGACGCAAACGACCCCATCCTGCGCATTGCGTCCGTTTCTGGAGCCGCTCACGTGACATGAGCAGGGGACACAGAGAAGATCGTCGGCGCTCAATGCGCTACACGCACTCGGCCCTTCCCCCTCGTTTTGCCACACAGCTCTGCGTGCGACGACGTCACGAGCGATGCTGCGAGTAATGTATCTTGAGGTCGCGTGACGACTGCCATGTTTGACTCCTGCTGAGCACGAGCGAGCTGCTGTCTATCCGCTCTGTTCTCAGGCACACACGTACGCACACACACACACACGAATCGGTGGACGGTCAGTCGACTCGATTGTCCGCCTCAATGGTAATTAGTGCCTTTCCTCTTCTTTTCCAGCTTTCTATCGGCAGCGTGTCGTCGTGTGGTCGAGATAAGCAGCTAAGCGCTCATTTGACAGCAATCCAATGCCATGTAGTTGAGGCTGTGGTTGAAGCAGAAACAAACGCGGCCTCGCTGGCTCAGTGATGATCTCCAAGTCGCGACAGAGACTGGAAGTGCACTTGCGCTGCGACGCCACAGCTTGTAGGACCCTCGAACCTCTTCACCCACATGCAGTTTCGCATGACCATGTCGACGAATATAGCCGTTCACTCCCTTCATTCGACTATTCACTGGATCCGCTGCGAGATCGAAACCCAGTAACGGAGCCCGTCCGTCCGTCCTCCTCTCCATTCCACCGAGAGGTCGGCGTGACATTAACAGTAGCAGCCGGACCTCCGTAGCAAGAGGACTTGACATGATATCCCATTGCCAGCAACAGCAGCAGTAGCAGCACTGAAGACAGTTACCACATAACGCATTCCGTGGCCGTACGCCCGACCCCACGAGTCCGCATACATGTAGAACTTAGGTGTCAATGCAGAAAAAAGACTGCGAGGTTGAAGACGCCACTCGAGTGTCCGTTATTCGCAGGGACCTGCCATCACTTCTTCCTTTGCTGCAAGAGTGACTGCTCTCCTGAAAGCAGCTGGACATGTTTTAACTTGAGCCCATTACCGGCCGCAAAGATACCACTATGTTCCGCCAGCAAGCGAGCATCGATCGTTAGAGAAAACCAAAGATGGCAAATCGGAGATGGAGAATCCACTAATTTCGAAGGTCCTGCCTTCGGAATTCATGTCACGCAATCGATCGACCTCAACGTTTAGGTACACACCCACTCACGTACTCCCTGAAACGCGCGCGAGCTCTGCTAACGCGTCTATGCAATCTCGACGCGGCCTGTGCCTGCACTATGTGCAAGGACGTATGATCGCATAAGAAATTCCCACTCGTCTGCGACGACGACGATAGTGCGAAAGATTATGGACCGTGAGCTCACGCGCGGTGTAGACTTTTTCCACGGGCTGGCTACCTCAGCAAGCCATTGAGACTAGCGGAGCAGACAGGACCGCTCTGCGGCAGTAATGTAGAGACTAGACATGTGCGTTGTTTTCAGCTTTCGAGTGCGTCGCAGCAGTCGACGACTGTCGTCTTCGCTATTGATGCGTTGAGAGAGATGATCCCGAGAGGACCAAAGGACCGAACGAGACAAAGGTCCTCCTCGCAGTCGCGAGGTCCATTTCGCGCGACCAAAAAACCGTTGGCGGTCCCAAGTCGTAGAAACAGGCGACTCCCTCGCTCCGGTAGAAGACGCTTGAAAACCGCTACCAGCTGGCGCTCACCACGAAATGTAGGAAAAAGGACCGAGACGAACTTGCGCGGACGAAAGGAGTGCGTGACTCGTGTGACTGACGCCAGCCGCTGCTTTTCTGGGCCCGCGTCGTCACTAGTGAACGTATCACGTGGCGTCACTACTTTCTATATAAAGCACGCCACTGGCCGTTTGATCTTGCTGTGTATTTTTAGATACACGCCAGCTTCAAGCCGTGCGCTTTTTTCTGATTTGCTTGGGTCGAGGATGTTGAGTCAATCGAGGGGTTGCCACACACAAAAAGAAGAGCAACGATAGGCAAAAAGGACCCAAACGACCCGCGACCCAAACGGGAGACCAAACGACGCCAAGGGCCGGCCGATCGGCGCCGAGCTAAAGGTTCGATTGGAAGCGACATAGTAGAAGCCAGGGCGTCGTGGCCCGTCTCTGTCTCACTAGCAGACACAAAAGCCGGGGGGTTGGTATCGTCCAAAGTGGCGTGCCAGCAGACGCGACGGCCGCGTGCGGCCACGTCCGCGCGCGCTCATTCGTTGATTCCAACGCACGCCCCTCGCGCGGGCTCGTCTGCCGCCGCTACTGCCGACAAACTACCAACGCCCCACCTCCACGTTCGGCCCCTCGACTGCCATTTTCCATTTTGCTCTTCACACGGCTCCCGCGGCACGCGCGACGTCGATTTTCCTGCCACTGCTGCGCCGCTACAAACAGGCGGAGACGACGGGAAAGAAGTGCGCTGTCGGCTGTCGTCTCGCTCTCCTCGTCGTCGTCGTCGTCGTCCCGCCCGCCACGATTTCCATCTCGTGCCGCGACGTGAACCAAGAGCCTGGCGAGCGCTGGGGAGCGCGTCTCGCTCGGCTCAGTCTCTTGCTCGTGAACTGCCTCTTGCGGCCCTTTTTCCTGCCGTCGCCGTCGCTCGCGGTCGCCTCGCACTGTAGACTAGCGCCGCCCCATCAGCCACAGCAGCAGCAGCAGCAACAGCAACAGCAAAAGCAGCAGCAGCAGCAGACGACGCAGCAACACCCGCCACAGCAGACGACGCAGCAATTGCCACGTCGCTCGTTGCTGACCAAGTCACTCGTGACGGCTGCGTGTCAGTGCCTTCTGATGGATCCCACTGTCGTGCATGTGCGGGATAGTACCTCGAGTCCGACCAACAGCAGCAGCGAACCGTCGCCCCAGGCGGCAGACGCGAAGCAGCACCTCAAGGCCCCGTCGCTGCCCTTGTTCCCCTCGGTCCCTTTTTATGCCGCGGATCGCACGCACGACTCAGAGTCTGATCCGAACCACAGCGACGATCAGGAAGGACTCGACGAGCGCAGACGAGAAAAAGGACAGGGCCGCAACGAACAAGAGACGCGGCGAATGGAGACACCGGGCACACTGGACGAGACGAAGTTGGCGTTGGCGCGGCGGTCCACGGGCTCCATTGCCGCGACGACGCGGCAAGCAGAGGCACTTGATTACCGGCGACACACGTTCACTACCGTGTCCGCCGAGAATCGGGCTCTCATGCGACGACGGAGCTACGACCTCTCGGCACATGGCGACCCTGCAATAGCTCCGCCTTTGTCGCCATTGCAGCAGTCTCTGCCGCATTCATTCAAAGCGCCCTCGCATTTGCAGCATTTGTACGTCTATGGCAATCGCGCTTCGGGCTCGAGCAAACAGCGTTTGACTGAACGTCTGGAAGAAGGAAGTGCGATGATCGTTCTGGCTTCCCCGACCGTGGAGACAGTGTGGACTCGAGGTAAAGCTGTGGACGTGGAGTGGAAAGTCCTGGATTCAAAAGTAGCTGCCCTCCGGATCGAGTTATTGGAAGACGGACGCAGCGCGTCGACGTTGATTGCAGCCGAAGCGCCGAATACGGGCTTTTTCACGTACCCCAAAGTGCCGTGGGGCATGGAGTCGGGCTCAAAGTATTTTTTGCGAGTATCAGCGGCGGACAATGTCGAGCGATACTGTACAAGCAGCTTTTTTCGCATCAGCTCGGCCCCGTGATGTCTGCGTGCCCTTGATGTTGATCAGAGGTCGTCGCACGAGTTAGGAGAAAAGTCTAGTCTTTATTTAATGAAATTGCCAATACAAGGAACGCACTTGTCTACATGACACGCCTCTTGTGCTGACATGTGATACGCGTGTTCGATGCGGAAACGACGTGCTGATCGCCAGAAAGCGACATTCGGTGCCTTCACCATTCGTGAGGACGTTGGAGGCGTCGACGTGGCGTTGTATATGATTCGTTCGGATCGTTGGGTCCTTACGCTACCGCGGAAGGACGATACGGGCACTCCATCGTGACGTGCTAGTGTTACAGCTTGAACACAGCTACGGATCTTGAGCGGGAGCACAAGATCTCGTAGGAGCGGTAATGCATTGTATACCGGTAAAGTGTCGCTGCATTGCGATGTACACAAAGGAGACCTCAATAGCCCGAATTACAGAAGCATACTTGGCCACGTTACATTTTGCAGTTTGCTTTGGTGTTTTGGACATTTCTCGCGAGAAACTAACAAAGGTTCACACACCCATGACGTACTACGTTTACCCTTCGTGCGGGTGCTAATGGATCAGTTTTCACGCACTTTCTGCATGGGCGACTCCTGTAATCGACATGCGCGCCAACGTTTGCATGTCTGATAGGCACTTCAACCCTGCATTAGTTCCCACCACATCCCGTGCAATGGCCTTACAATGACGAGAACAAGCTTGCAACCACTGGTCAAAAAATATTCTGGTGCTCAATCCCTCGTGTCTTTCGTTGCCTTCACCGCCGTAGGCATCAGAGCGGCTTTTTGCCTCTGTGATGGTACCGTAGCTCCTACGTGAGTCAAACGCTGTAGTCGACCAGATCATGTCGTTGGGTAAAGTCATACTATAATACCTACTCATACCAACTGTAACGGGGTAGCCCGTTACATGAGATTGTCATTAAAACAATCTGACAATAAAAAATATTAAGTCAAATATTCTTTAAACAATATCACAAGATATGGTGATATTGATGGGATGACCGAAGGGTCTACTCATTGGTTGATATCGTGATGATATCAACCCACCATATGCTGCTAGACGCGCGCAATGGGTGGTGAGTAGACGTCATCATACATATAGTTATATTAGTATAATTAAGTCAGGACAACAGAGATTCAAGGAGTTATAGGACTTGATTATATTAACACAGTTTTACTTTTACCAAGAGACTAGTCTGACTACTTAGTCTCCTTTCCTTCCTCTGTGTTTCCTTAAAACACCTAGCAGGGCACTGTCGACCACTATCGTCAGTGGAAGTATACTCCGTACTGGTCAACCAGTACGTAGTCAACAGTGCCCCGTTATACCTGGTAGCACTTTGAAGTCCGTCCAAGGACCACAACCCCATCGCCCAACATGAACATGTTGGACGATGTAGACGGCGACAGCTTTCACGGAACCCGTGAAAGCTAATCCCATTTGAGCGACATCGAATGGAGTGCGATCGAACGAATGAGTTCGACCGTTGGCGAAGAAGCTATGTGGGCCATGCTACCCACAAGGGATAGAGACCAGCTGCATACCGTCATTAGCAAGTTCTTGCAACGAGAACTTGATGAGTCGCGAGCTCAGGTGACCTTGTTACAACAACAAGATCACCAGCGGACCGAAGCACTGAGACAACAACAGTCTCAGTCCGCAGAGCCGACGCGTGAGCGTCGACGGGAGTCTCTAAAACTAGAGGTCTCCAAGTATGGGGGAGTCGAGGAACACTCCCTGTTAAGATGGTTCGTCGAGCTGGACGATGCCATCGATGCTCGTCGCATCGATGATGAGCGAATGCAAGTCTCATTAGCTCAGTCTAACCTGACAGGGGACGCCAGAGCTTGGGCCCTGAACCTCAAGTTGCACGACCCACATGTGTTTGGGTCGTTGAGGATCTTCAAGGCCCTGCTCAGTGAGACGTTCGAGCCGCCCTCAGCAGAGCTCAGAACACTATCAGAACTCCTCGAAATCAAACAGGGTAAGCGTAAGGTTCACGCTTACGCCCAACATGTACGCTACCTTGCAAGCTGCATGGTAGTGAACCCTGTGAGTGAGTTTGTGTTGATCACAATCTTCATTCAAGGGCTTCCAGACGGTCCCGTTAGGGACCACCTGTTCCGCGGAGAGCTAAAAAAGCTCTCCGAAGCAATCTTTGCAGCGGGACAAGAAGATTATAGCGTGATACAGTCTCACGCTACGTTTACCCCGCATCGTCCACATAGAAGATTGGCAGTCGGAGGTCCAGAGCCAATGGACCTCTGTAATGTCGAGGGCGAGAAACCTCGCCCTATGACCGACAAGCGAATGGTGAGATGCCATCGCTGTCATAAACTGGGGCACTACGCATATGAATGCAGTATCCATCGCTTAGTACCTCGCGGTGCTGAGCGCAGTGTTCACCCACCAGCAAGAAGAACTGGAGGGCGAGGGTCCGTTGCTGTTGCGAAGTCGCAACAGCAAGGTGGACCATCAAAAAACGGTCGAGATCAGTAGGGGCGGAGCGCCCTACTGATTCAGCAACCTCAAGAGAATTTGCACATCTCCTGAAGAAGGTTTTTCCCGACACACAATTTCTGTGTGTCTCTGCACCTGGTGATGTGGTGTCACTCATCACCTTGAAATTGGAAGTGACAAAAGACTTGTCACTTCGCGCCCTATTTGACTGTAGGGAGTCGAACAATTTTGTTCGTCGTCAGTCGCTAGAGGCAGGAAGTTTTAACTTCGTGGAGCGGGAGATCCCTCCAAAGAAGATGAAGGTGCGCCTAGCGACATGCGCATCTATCACTGTGAAGAAACGTGTAGTCGGAATCCACTACACGTTAAAAGGCGAACAATACGATGATGATTTTATCGTGCTTGACCTAGATGACAAGTTCGACGTCGGATCCTCAGATAAATACCTTACAAATATCTTGGAACGCCCACACTCACGTGGGTGTACTACGAGTGAGTGCGATGGCCTCCCTTGTGGTATGGTCGTTAGCACGACTGTACAAGAACACAACATAGATGATCACTACATTGTGGAGAAAGCTCGCCTTGATCCTGTGGAAGTAATTTCCCAGGAGGTAATCGAGACACTGAATGTCTTGGTTAATAATGGATTAAGCGTAGGCGCTTACACGCTTGATCTGGTTGCGCCTCCGAAGTTAACTTCGGAGATAACTCAATTGCCGACGCTAGAACCGAAACGGTTCTTGCGTGATCTTCGTATTGGCAAAGTCAAGCAGATCTGTGTGCTCGTCGCGGAGGACGAGTACGTTACCGATATTCCATCGGTGTTTACTGAGACTGAGAGGGTTCTCAGCAGTTCATCGATGCACGAAAGTGTCATCGATGAGAAGACCCGGATTGAGAGATACACGTCTCAATCCTGGAAGTCGCTTTAAACAAATCCTTTGTATAAGGATTTGATCGAATTCAGGGATTTGTTCACTGAATCCGTACCTTGCGAGTTTCCTAAGGACAAAGGCACTCAACACGAGACCGAGCTCAAACCGGGCTCGAAGCACTGTGTCATGAAGCAGTGGCCAATTCCTCGTGAACAAGTACTAGCGATCGACAAGTTCTTTGCCGATCGCTTACCAGCGGGCCATGTGAGGGAATCAACATCCCCTCACAGCTCTCCGACCTTCTGTGTGCGAAAGGCCACAGGAGGATGGCGGATAGTGCACGCATTTGACAAATTGAAGTGCTGTACCACCTACCGGAGTACTCATCATAGATGGTATGTCGAATAGTACCATCTTTTCGTACATGGATCTGATGGTGGATTCTATCAGATCCTCATGAGTGAACGGGACATCCCGTACACAGTAGCGAGTACCCCCAGCGGTATGCTGTGGGAGTGGCTAGTGATGCCACAGGGGCTGAGCAATACCTCTGCAACATTCATCAGATGCGTTTCAAATCTGTTGAGACCGATGCGCGATTTTGCACCGATTTGCTTTGACGATGTGTTCGTCGATTACCGGGATATGGACATGAAGACGGACGTTGAAGTCCACCGAACTCACGTTCGTTAGTTTCTTCCACTTATGTGCAAGTATAAGTTGTACGCCAATCTCAAGAAGTGTATCTTCGCGGCTGGAGAAATACCACTTATTGGGTGCATCGTGGGTAAACACGGCGTACGCCCTGATCTCAAAACGGTCAAGGCGATCACCGACTGGCCTGTGCCAGTCGATTTCAAGGGACTTCGTAAGCTCCTTGGGCTGAAGGCGTACTTGTACAAGTACTCGCGCAACTACGCCGAGATGACTGTGCCATTTTCGAGTTTACTCAAGAAAAATGTGAAGTGGCCATGGGACGCTGACTGTCAGCGTTACTTTGAAGGTATCAAGCAAAGCTTGATGCCATCGCCCATACTGATTATTGCAGATCAGGACAGACCATTTCATGTTGTCTGTTACGCTAGCAATTTCGCGATCAGATGCGCGTTGATGCAATTTGACACAGATGGCGCAGAGCGCCTCATCTGTTATTGATCGCGTCAGCTTCAAGCAGCTGAGCGTAATTATCCAGTCTACGACACGGAACTCCTTGCCATGAAATACGCGCTGGCCAAGTTTCGCGTCTATCTCTTAAAAGGTAGACCGTTCATTGTCCAAACAGATCATGCGTCATTACTCAAGGCCGTAAACAGTCGCCAAATCTCGCAAAGAATAATGAGGTAGCTGTCTTTCTTCCCGGAGTACAACTTCTCCTTCTAGTATAAATCAGGACTACTCAACGTCGTCGCTGATGCACTGTCGCGCCGACTCGATTTCGGGTTAAGCGCGCAATTTAACAGTGGGGATAAGCCCACTGTTGCGACACTTACGGTCCTTGTCCCGTCATAAACATATCTTGACGACGTGAGAAAGCCTACGCAAAAGATAAATGTCTTCTGCGCTTAATGGATCATCTGGTAAATCCATCTCGTAATTTCTCGAAAAAATTACCGGCTTTTTACCGATCCTCTTCGGATCGGTACACAACTT